AGCGCGTGCCGGGCCGGTGGCCGTTGCAGAAGAGACCGAGAGCGATGGCGCTGCCGGGCCGGTGGCGCTGCCCTCGGCGCTGGCCGTCGGCGCTGCCAGTGGCGCTGTTGGTGGCGGTCACCAGCCTGCTGCAGGGATCGCTGCTGGGAGCGGCGCTGGGCTTGGGGGGTGCCTGGTGGGCGCTGCGGTCCCGCCCGCCCGCCAGGCGCCTTCTGCCCCTGCGCTCTCCCCCACGGTGGCTGCCCCCCAGGCCCTGTCCCCCACTGCGGCTGCCCCCGTACAGGCCCAGAGCCAGCCTGATCGCCCGCTTCCCAACCGCCTGGGACGTGATGGCTTGGCGCCTGCGGAGGAAAATGGCCACTACCAGCGGGCCGGCCACTGTGATCGGCCGACGTGTGAGCACATCGACCCGCGGCAACTGCCTTGGGTGAGCGAGGGAGTAGGATGTGTGTGGGATAAGGACACGGGTGGCCCAGGGAAACGGGAGGGATGAGGACACGGGTGGCAGTAGGACACTCCTTGTCAGGGGCACAGGGACCCTGGGTGTCAGGGATGAAGGTGGCAGAGGGACACAGTGGGATAGAGAGACAGGTGGCACAGGGACATAGGTTGTGAGGGCCGCAGGTGGCACAGGGCACGGGTGAGATAAGGACACGGGTGGCCTAGCGATGGCCATGCTGCTGCCCTTGGCGCTGCCCTGCGTGGTGCTGCAGGGATCGCTGCTGGGAGCAGGGGTCCTGGTGTGCAGTGTGACCCTACCAGCCCGCATCGCTCCTGTCTTCGTGTGGCCCGCGCGGCAAAACGGCCTCTACAGTGGCCCAACCGCAGTCACCATCCGCGCTGAGAGAACCCGTCCCGCTGCTACTGCTTCTGGTGAGCTTGGGAGGAGGATGGGATCGGATCTTCCTGCCGCTAACAGTGCTGTGACCGTTGTGCCCCAGCAGAGATCCACCGCACCCGCTGCGCCACCGGCACCCGCTGCGCCACCGGCACCCGCTGCCACAGGACCGGAGCCCTGAGGCCATTTTCGCCCCGGTACGCCAGGACAGTCAGATGCCCAGGGGCTCCCCATGGGCCCAACGCCCAGCACCGCTCCGCAGCCCACGGCCCAGCGCAGAGCTCTTTTCCTGTCCCCACTTTGCCCTGGCCAGTCTGCAGGGGGGACACATCCAGGGGAAAGGAAAGGACAAAATCTCTTTGCTGTGCTGGCACCTTTTCAGCTGGAGGCAGCAGCACGTGTGGGAGCCCTGTGTTCCCACTTTGACACGGGTCTCCTCAGCACCTGCTGAGCTGTACTAAAACACTGCTCACATCCTGGGCTGGGTTTGCAGATGTGAGATGGGATGTAGTCGTGGCTAATGGAGCTCTGCAGCTGTGCAGGGAAAGGTTTTACCCAGGGTGGGTCAGTAGGGAAGGGTTTGCTCAGAGCCTGGAGGACGCTTGCTCCCAGAGTGAATTCAGTTTGGGGTGCTCAGACTTTGCCCTCCATGGACATTGTGGAGGGGTGTTGAGCAGCGTTGAAGCAAGAGAGGTTCCGGGCTCGGCAGCCAGCACCAGGGAGATGGGATTTACTCTGTCGTGAGCAGGAGAAAGGCAGGCTGTGCTCCCCTGAACCAAATTAGTTACTCCTGGTCTCTTTCCACATCCCAATAGGAGAGGATGTGTGTGAGGGAGACCCTGGAGTCCGGCGCTGGATCCTACCAGGAGGTGCCACATCGGACAGGAAGGTAAGGTACCGCTCAGCCAGCCAGTGCCTGCTTGTCAGTGCCAGCCAGGAAGAAAGCAGTCACCTTCCCAGCTGAGCCGGTGCCCAAGGCCTGCTCTCCACCAGAGCTAGGCTATTCCAGGCCCGTGAGACATGGCTGCTGGGTCAGCCCCTTTGTTGTGTCCATCAGCATCCCCGCTGCCTCGTTCCACTGCCGTGCTGGCGGCAGCGCTGAGCGGCACCATCCCCGCCCTGCCCCAGGCCGGGTTGGAGTTTGAAGGGCTCAGACAGCTGCAGCGGTGACGTTGCCGTGTGGCACTGGCGTGTCCTGTCCCAGCCTGGCACTGACCCTAACTGGCTCTCTCCCACTCGCACAGGGAACAGGAATCGCGGCGACGGCAAGAGAGCACTCCGAGGACAGCGAACAAGGCCGTGCAGACCGAGGAAGGTGAGTGTAGGTGGGGCCCAGCTCTGTGCCGGATTGGATGGGCCACCGGTGCGGGCCTGCTCCGATGCCAGGCGGAGCTCATGCCAACACTTCCTCAGCTGAAAGAGAGAGGAAACCCCGCGTGCCCATTGCGGAGAGGGCCCCGTGGCACAGCGCGAGATGTGGCCACGTGCGGCACCTTGTGTGGTTTGTGGTTCGGGAGGGCAGCGTGCAAGGAGCATGCGTGGTGGTGGGAAGGGGCCGCTGGCCCGTGGAGCCCCAGCAGGCTCTTGTGAGAGCTTCCCCACGGATCTCTTGTGGCCAAGCTGCTGTCCCAGGGCATCGCAGCCCTGTCCTCAGCTTAAGGCCGTGTCCCTGGCTCTGCCCTCCGGGATGGGCATCCAGAGAGCAGTGAGAAGGGACAACCCCCTTGGTGCAGGCTGAACGCCTCTGCTGGGAGCTGCTCCTGACTTGTCTCCTCCTGTAGCTGTCGAGAGGCCTGAGGAAGAGCGGCAGCAGTCCCCGAGCCCACCACCTTCGCTGGGGAAAGGAAGGCCACGCAGGAGGAGCATCTGCCTGCTGGTGCCTGGCGAGATCCACCCACTGGTGCTGGTACGTCGCTGTCTCGCAGCCTCTTTTGCCCTCCTCTGGGCTAGAATGTGCTCAGTGCAGTTCCTGCAGGGCTGGGGGCAGGCTGACGTGCCTGCCTTGGGGCAGGAGGTCTCGGCCTTGGCTGGGTGGGAAGCGAGGCTCTCCCCTGCCCCAGTGCGTGGCGACCGTGCGTGACTGCTGCCGCTGATGGAGCAGGTACTGGCCTGGGCAAGGTTGCCGTGGCCTCAGCCCCAAGCCGATGCCAAACTGAATGGGGTCCAGAGCTCTGCGCTGGCTGTGGCAGAACCACGGCTTCATGGCTCTGGCGCAGGCCTGCTTCCACACCTCCTTCAGAGCGGCTCTGCCGGCTGCCCTGGGAAGGAACTAAGCTACTGCTCTCTCTTGGCAGTTCCCGGAGCTGAACCCACATTACTCCAGCACCGAGATGACCCTGGAGGAGGAGGGGGAGGCAGCGTGGCAGCTGTCTCGATGCCTCTTGGGAGCTATGGCTGGTAAGGGCAGAAGGGCACGGCAAGGGCGGGGAAAGCCACGGCCTGGGCTGGCAGGGCAGGGGGAAGCTGCTGGGCCAGTGCCGCCTGGTCCTCGGCTCTGATGCTCTTAAGAGACTCGTGAAGAGCCCGGAGGGAGACCTCGTGTCCTGCAGTCCCCAGGGTGATGGGCGAGGTTGCCCAGGGCCTGAGCTGCCAGCTGTTCATGCTGGGAGGGTTTCATAAGGGGTAGTCCCATGCGGCAGAGCCTTGCCGTGCAAAGGGAAGGTGCTTCCGTCACTCGCTGCCCCAGTCCCCAGCCCTGGGGGGTGGAGGGGAATCTGAAATGCCGCTCCTTGCCCTCTCTGGATGCACTGGACGCATCGGCTCCTGCGGGTGCTGCCAGCTCCCTAAAGCCAAGCTCTTCCTGCTCTGCCGACCCCGGCTCACAGCGGGGTGTTGCTTTCCAGGGACTCCTGCGCCCTTCTCTGGCCAGCGCCCCTCAGGCCTTGGACGAGACGCCGCTTCCTCTGGTAAGGACGGAGTTGGTGCTTCAGGCTTGAGGAGCTGATGGGTCGTGTTGTTCCCTTGGACTGGGGGATGGCGGAAGGGTCAGGCTGTGCCCTAGGAGACAGCCCGGGTGGTAGCTACTGGGCTCCAGGGATGCAAAACCTTCCATTCCCCCAGGGATAGGGATGGTGGTAGGCCCGGTGCCAGCCCAGAGTGCGGCTGCAGAGACCTGAGCAACATTTGTGCTTCTCTAGGTTCGTCCACCCACGCAAGATGGAAGGACAGAGCCTGCAAGCAGCACAAGGCATGGATCCATCATTTCTGCAATAAGTAACGGCCAGTGCTGCTGGCCCCCAGCCGTGGGGGCTCTGGTCCAGAGCAGCCCTGAGGCGGCCCCGGAGTGACAGGGCCAGGCCCCGTTTCTGATGCTAGCAAGAAGCTGTGCTGGGTGGCAGTGCCTGGGGTGGGACAGGGGAGCTCTTCCTGCTGGTAGAGGCCCCCAGCCAGGGCTCATGAGCCTCTGGGCATCTGTGCAGCGTTTCCATCCTGGCTCTATTTTGCCACGTTCCCTAAGGTGTAACCTTTTGCTCCAGCCCTGGCAGTCTCTCCCCTCCCTTCTTATGCCCTTTCCCATGTTGGGATGCTCTGGAGCCACTGAGGGAGTCCAGAGGGGATTGGGCTCCTCCCCCTCCCCAAATCCCAGTTGTTTTTTTCATTTGTGGCTCATCCCCACCCGTCTGGGATTTACCAGCTCCCAGGAGCTGCGGTGCTGTCTCCCCTGGTGCCGTTCAGTGGGAGCGGGGCAGAGGCTGCTGGAGCCAGGGGTCCCCTGAGAGCTGCTCTCCCCTGCCCGGGGGGTCCTCACCACCCCCAGGACGGCTTCGCTGCCGGGTCTTATACTCGCTGAGCCCTGTAATTGTTCGTGTTGGGGGCAGTCAAAATTACCCAAAACCCCACAAATACTGAAACGTTCTTTAACGAAACCACGCTTTGTTTTTATATGGGAGCTGTTACAGCACCTCCTGCCTTCTAAACTGCAATGTACATGGCTGTGACTAAACCTGTTCTCTTTGGGTTTTTTTCTTCCCGAAGGAGGAGGACCACAGAGATGCCAAGGGGCCTTTTGGGCCACCAGCAGCAAAACAGCGGCGTCACTGACCATTGTTGAAGACTGTTCTTGTTCTATGTTTGTTCTACAGTTGTTCTAATATTCTTGTTATACTCTTCTCGTTTTGTTCTTATACTCTACTTTTTTTATTGTAGCTTTGTGTTGTTATACTGTTTTTCCGTTGTTGTTGTAACAATAGTAAACTAGTATTTTTACCATCATTTTACTATCATTTTAGCATTTTTTTACTCTCAATATATAATTTCCACCCCTCCTACTACATCCTCCACCCCCTCTTTTTATGTCCCCCACTTAAAATAAACAGACTATGTTCACATCTGCCTTCCCTGTGTTTGATTTCTGGGCCAGGGCACAGGTGCCGCTTTCCAGCACCCTCTGCTTGAGCCATCCCTAAGTGTCCCCTCTGCCTGAGGATGCTCCCCATGGTGCTGCAGTACCCAGTCTGCAGAAGGTCAAGGACAGAGAAGTGCCTTGGCAACGGCAACCAGAGGAGCCCTTAAGCTCTTGAGCAGAGGTGGATGGGCTGAACAAAGCACCTATGGTGCTCGCCAAGCAAAGGGATGGCAGCGGCGTCCTCTGTATGGCTGGGAGAGGGCAGGTGGGGAAGCTGGCTGGGGGCAAGGTACAAGCAGGATGGGGCAGCCGCAGGCTGCACGTGCCAGAGCTCCTGCCCTTGCCTGACCTTTTCCTTTCAGTCACCTGAAATAGTTCAGGGGATGGTTCCCCTGATGGCGCACCTGGGCTGTCCCCATGGCGATGGCTGTGTCCCCCTTCTTCTCCCATCCCTGCCATCATTAGGTGTGTGCTTGTGGCTTCTGCAGCCTGTTGGCTCATTTTGCCAAGTCAGGTGATGCCACCTTGGGCCGGCACTGCCACCACCGCTTTCACCTGCTCCTTTGGTCCCCAGATAAATCTGGGCTGGGCAATCCACTCTGGCCAATAGCCTCTTCCTGACAGACCTGTGGAGAGGCCGCAAGCTGCTGAACGCTGAAGGTGAGGAGGGGAACAGTGCCAGGGATGGGGTATCCTGGCTGTCCGGGATTTGGCAGAGTCCGTGCTGCTCCTGAAGGGGCTGTAGCCCCTCTGCCTTCCCAGCGGGCTCCTCCAGGTCTCCGATGCTGCCTGCAGCATGCTGCCAGCTGCCCGTAGGTGCTGGGGATGGCTCCAGAGCAGCAGGGACCCCTGTTTTCTAAATGCTCCAACTCAGGAGCAGCCCATTGAAACAGACAAAGAAAACTGTGACCAAGGCAGACACCAACCACGCCAAAAAAAATAAATAAATGAGACAAATAATAAAGAACTAAATAAGGCAGAGTCCCCAGCCAGTGTGCAGTCAAGGTGAAAAACAGGAGCAGCTTCCAGCAGCCCGCTCACTCCACAGGCAGAGGTATGGACCCCTTCAGGGCATCGCTCCTCCCTGCTCCTCCCTTCAGCATCTTGCAGGGCATCCATCAGCTCTCGTTGCAGGAGAGGCAGAGAGCAAAGTCTGATGCTCTGCAGTGGCCCAAATAAGAGAGTTCATGATGGAGCAGGATATGGAGAAGTCTTGGACCAAGTGGCATGCAGCAAACGACATGTGTTGCCGAGTCACCTGAGCATTTGGGAATGTTAACCGGACTCCGCAGTCCCAAATAACAAGCTAGACGCTGCCCCTTTTGGAAAGAGCTTTTAGAAATCAGAAGGCATCCTGGCCCTGGGCTCAGTTTCCTCTTCACAAGATACAAATGGCAGGTCAGTTCCAGCAGCAGCCTTCTCTCTAGGATCTCATCTCACTGGGTTTAGGTGCCTGGACAGGGACCATTTCTGACCTGGCAGGGCAAACTTTCCCAAGAAGCTGCAAAGTTTAGCAGGGAAGAGGCTCTGGGTTTCTGAGGCCTTGGAGACCACTTGTCCCACTGCCTTCTCTTCCACACAGCTTTCACAAACCAGCATCTTCCAAGCTCCCAGCTGTATATCCTCTGTTGGTGTTACCCAAAACACAACATGAGAGCGGCTGCAGCTGTTTCAAGGAAAAGCCTTCTTCAGGAAACCTTCTGCCCTCATCACCAATCTGCTAGCGTCCCACCAAGTTGGGGAGTGCACCGACAGGGAAGATGGTAGTGACAGCGCAGCAGGATGCTCTGCGTGGAGTGAAAGCGTTCCTGAGCGCACAGACATTATTCCTGCACAGGCAATGAAGGAGAACCCCAAACAGCTGCTTGCAGCGCACTACCTGGAGCGATGCACAGGCAGAACGGGACTGCCAGAGCCACAGCACAATTAAACTTTACATGCTGAGGGCTGGTTTATTTAAAGTTTCCTGGGGTAAAAGCAAAAGCAGCACTGCTCCGTCACCCCACCTCCTGTGTGACAAAGAGCACATGAAGCAGCTGTGACCTCTCCTCCCCTCGGAGGCTGCAGTCATGCTGCTGTAGTCCAGGCACTTTGCTCCAGGAAGAAAGCGCTCCTGGTACCAGACGAACAGAAACCTCTCCTCCGAAGTCAGGCTCAGTAAATGCAACCCCTATGGAGTCAGCCCTGAGCAGCCGGGAGGGCTGCAGACATCCCCACAGAAAGGTACCTAAGCTGGTCTTCATCCTGCCTCTTTTCTCCCAGCTGCTGGTTCGCCCCACCCCCGCCCCAGGGCATTTCAGGGTGGGGCCACGGTTCTTGCTTGTGGCTGGGAAGAGGTGAGTGTCGTCAGATAGGGGTGTTTGTGATTGTGGAGTCTGGTAAGTTCTTGCTGCAATCCCGTTACAGTGCGGGGTTGTTCTGTTCTTCGTGTCTTGCTGGGTGTGCCTGGGTTGTTTCTTTCTTAGGAGTCCACTGTGAACTCGGAGAAGGAGACAAGGGGGGAGGCAGAATGGAGTCAGTGAAAACACAGGCAGCTTGACTTCTATTTAGCTTTCCGTGATCAGATTAATTGCTTTGACTTACACCATCCTTATTCTGTACTTTGTGATTCTTTCTTAAGGAAGCATCTTAATGAACTTAGAAAACTTTCTATTGACACAAACCTCATTGTGAGGCAGAGAATATTGGCTTTTTACAGTCTGGAAACCTGGGTGACTGCAGTTCTTGAAGCTTCTTCAACTGCTTTAGATGTTGGAAAGAAGTTCTGAGCTTCATAGGGTTTTACAAATAATAGTTTCTCCTAACATTTTTCTTTCAAGTAAATATACCAGCTAAATTGATATTAATGCTCCTGTTGGTAAGAGGCATAACATTATCTGAGTATTACTTTCTGCTGTGTATATTTTTATCTTCACGCAATCATACATAACAAGGGAACATGATTAAAAGCAAGTATTGTCAATTAATGAAAGGCATCTGAAAAGCTACTTTGAACTGTGGAGTAGAGACTTTTCTACTTGTTGGCTCATAAGGACAAAGACAGGAAAGTTCTTTCACTGATGCTGAACTTGTCTTAAGCAGAAGTAGCTGCAGACATCATCAGAATAACATTTTCTTATTAGCAGGCTGAGATTCTGTATTGTTTTCTTGTCTTGAAAGTGTGTAAAGTATGCAAATGCCAGCAAGAAAGGCCAGATTTTGTTCATATGCCTTTTAATTTTATTTGGAAGATCTTCTGAGGCTGTCTTCAGATCAGGAGAAATTACTGGTAGTATAAAGAGTGAGTGGAAGCAGCTTCTGAAGGGAATGACTAGATAGAAGTGTAAGATGTGTCTACTTTTTAGTGTAGTATTGCTAAGTAATTAATAAACGTAAATGATTCGTATCCTGGTTTTATTCCTGTGGTGGCAGATTTTGCAAAGAATATTGTATGCAAACCAGAGCCTGAAGAACCAAGGGCTGAAGCCCGAAAACGTCTTGTGCATTAACAAAAAACAGATGTTAAGTATTACAGAAACACTGTGTAATTACAGAATTACACAGGAGTTACAGAAGCACTGCTTTGAAGTTTTAATGTTTATTGTTTCCTTTCTCTAAGGATTTGATGATGCCATTTGCTTTAGAGCTAGGGACCTGAAGCCCCATTGCTTGAGCAAAGGAAATTCATAGCGGAACAAGGAATTTTTCCCAACTCTTCTCTCCCAGATTATCAATATTACTGAGGCTGTCATTTTTTGTTTTTGTTCCATGTCCCTGGATTGTTTTGGTTTTGTTCAAGTCTTACTTCGAGACTTTTCTTTCCAACTCAGTTCAGGTTCTTAAACTTTATAAAAGTATTAGATGTTTGACTGCAGTGTAGATATCTTCATCCAAGGCAGAGGGTTATAAAGCCACCTCGCCATGTTTAGATCCCTTGTTGTCAGTCTCAGTGAAGAACTGATTAATTTGTAGGGCAGAAAAATGCTGCCTTCAAGTATCACTTAGATCATGTCTGTATCAGAAACTAGTTGGGTGGGTGTTCATGTACAGTGCCTCTCCTGAGGTTTATTTTTGTGACTTCAGTTCCCAATGCTATCGGCCCAGAAGAGTTATATTAGAAAAAGAGAAAACCAGGAATCTGGTTCTAGAAAATGCAGTAGCACAACCTTTTGTTGCAGCTGGTTTCAAGTGTCTCCTCTGACATGCAGTGTCTGTGCAGAAAGATCTTTAGATTCCTCACAGCCATGCTGGCAATATTTATCTCTAAACATTTAAACTTACGTAGTTAAGAGCTCTTATTGATAATACCAGGTCAGCCAGTGGGTGAGACTGGTGGTGAAAACACGGGAACCTTGCACATAACCTGACGTTCTGTGGTGTCAGTGACATCTGTAGATGTCTGAGTTCTGAATGACTCCAGAAAGCCTTCCAATGCTTTGCAGTTCAGAAATACTATTATTTTTCAAGTAATCCTGTAAATAGCTGCAAAATGCTTTCAACCTCTATCCCTTTCCTCAGGGCATACAAGCAGTTGTGAATGAATAAATATTCAGTACAGGTTTTATAAAGATTGTACTTTGTAGTCAGGCATTGTTCCAATTTTCTTTAATTAAACAAGAGTCTTTTCAATGATATAGAAACCTCTTTATTACACTCCATTGTATCACTAAAAACTATTTATTAAATAAGTGGTTTTATTTTTACAATGACAGCATAAGGTGTTTTCATATTTATTTATATTGTAGAAATTCCAAGTTTTCCCAAGGATTTGCTGTTCTGCTTTTGCAAAATCTCAAACCATGGCAGTTAGGAATTAACCACGTTGTTACTGTACGGTTTGCTCCATAAGCAACTCCACCTTTCCAGTACTTCCTCCAGCTCCTCAGTCAACCTGAAGCTGGGTAGTGCTAACAGAAGCCCCACTGTGCTTGATCCTAGGCTGATGTGGAAAAGTCCTTCCCTACTCTGGAAGCTACCTGTAGGTTCATATTTTGATTGTTTCCATTGTTACCTGGTTTTGAAAGGCTGTTATTCAAAATGAGTTATGTTAGGAAAGCTTAACAAAATTTGCTGCCTTACTATTTCTCTAAGTATTGCAGCTTCAGAAGAGGACAGGTCCACTGAACACCGGGCATGGCACCTAGCCATGAGTGACTGTGACTCTAAGGGGTTCATGGATGTTTCTTGGCAGTGTTTTATGATCCAGCCCTTTCCAGCCTTTCCTCAATATCTCATAAGCTCTAGAAGAGCTCTCTCTTAATTTGGTGATACATGACATAGTGAGGTCATGTCCTTGCTGGCTGGTGGAAGCTACTAATATGCAAATAATAGATCTTTGCCTTGAAGAATAGGAAACTTCTGCTGAAAAAGACCTAAAACAGCCTTAAACTTATTCTGTGAAGGTCAGAGGAGGGCGATATATTTCCCCCAGTTTCTGGAAAAGGAGCTGTCATCAGTTTCTATGGACAGATAAATATTTTCCCTCCTTCTCTTTTCAGTGTCCTGTTATTTAAAAGCGTGTTATATTAGCCCAACTGTCAGAGAGTCTGTACAGAAAGAACCTGCTGAATCAATGCATCCAGAATGGGAGTGAAAGCATCACTAAAATATATCCTTCTTG